GAGGGGGGGGGGTAATGATGCGGGGAGAAAAGATGCGGAGAAGCAACAATCCTGGAAAGAGGGGGGGGGGGTGTCGGTGTGGGGTAGTAACGGTGAGGGGGTATCGACATGACCGCAAACTCTAATTGTTTATCCGAATACAAATAATGCACCCCCATTTTTTCCTAAGGCACGACTCAATTCGGTGTTTAATTAAGCTATGAATTAACGCCTTTGTCTTCGTGTGAGATTTTTCAATTAACGCTGTGCTTGGGCGATTCTAGCAACCGCTAAACAAGGTAAATGCTCTGTAATTTTTGCTGTTGTTTTTTATTATTATTATTATAAAAAAGTAAAGAAACTCATAAATAACCCAAAGTGTCGGGATCAGTTTATAGAACCAATTAATAGGAAATTCAAACAGACTGTGGCCTCATTCAAAATAGAAGATCCGAGGATCTACAGATCAATGGATCAAATATGGTGGACCCTACATGAGACTTTATGGTCAGTCGGAATTTGAAAAAAAAAAGTTTATTGAAAAGGTATGTCAAATCCAAAGCGTAGGCGATTTAAAAGCATTTAAGTATTATAAGCAACATCATCAAGGATAACCTAGTGGTCAATAGTATTTTTTCCACATAACACACCAATACGAAATTCATATTTTTTTCATTTGAAAAAATATTCCCAACTCCTTTTACTTCTTCTTTCCTTTCTTGGTCAAACACGAACGAAAATAAGATGGGGGTTGCCGCGCAGAAACGTTTTATCGATTTTTTAAACTTGGCTCTGATGTCATTATATTCTTTATTCTTAGTTGAGCGTCAGGTACAATGTATTAAAGCCTGGCAATAGGCCTAAAACACGACCTATATTAGGAAGGAGGAGAAACTGCAAACAGGCATCTACATGCAAACAGTCATCACAGGATTCGAATAGTAGGCACTAACCCACGGCTAGCGCGTAGAACAACAGACTCGGCTTTGTTATGTTGAAACGCTTGTAGTTGTACTAAGAACCATGCCTGCGAGTGCGTGCTTTTTGTCCCACGGCTACAATAACAGTAAGTGATATCCACGCTTGGGACTTAAAAGACCTTCTTCTTCAAGAATATTTTGGCAAAATGAATCTTTAAGTTTTCATTTCTTTTATCTCACTTTTCAATTTATCTGCGTAGTATTGGTTTTATATACATTTGTATTTGCTGAGACGCATGTAAAGCGCGACTTTCAGAAATGTATTATTGTTATCTGTATTAATATAAATATTAGCAAGTTTCCAACGGTCCCATTAGAATGAAAAATATAAGTAGACAACAACGTATCGGTAGAGCCAGAAGAAAAATAAAGTTTAGCAGTTTTGGGCTACATTTAGGTCCAGCAGACAAACGACATTGAATCACCGTTGAATCAACGTTAATTTTGGTGGATCAACGTTGAATCAACGTAGAATCAATGTCGTTTGCCTGCTGGCAGGACACCTCGTTATCAGTAAAAAGTTACTCTTAAGCTGAAGGCGGTAGGCGGCTGGGTAGTCACACCTTTAACAGAACTCCACCGACATGCTTTCAATGAAAATGGCTAGGTCACATGGTCTGCACCTGTGGTAGGCCAAGAGGTAGTATAGACTTCTTGGGTAGGCCTAGTGGAGAGTAAAATCTTAAAGGACAACGTCACTTTCTTGGCCTTAGAATAAATAAATGATGATTTCTAGGCATCCGTAGTCATTTTTTGCGCATTTTTATAACTTTCTAGTTTTTCCATTTCTAAAAAATCTCCTACTCCTTTTGCTTTCTCTTTCTTTCTTTATCACGCACGAACGAAAATAACAACGACAATAAAGGGTTACACATGCGCAGAAAAGTCTAATCGGTTCCTTAACTTGACGCTGATGTCATTATATCCTTTATTCTCTGGTCAGCGTCAGTTACCAGTAATAAGGCCTGGCAATAGGCCTAAAACACGACCTTCATTAGGAGGAAGGAGAAACTGCAAACAGGCATCTACACGCACAGAGTCATCACAGGATTCGAACAGTAAGTATTAATCAACCTGTCAATAAGTTGTGTACATAAAGTTAGTTTTTACCGAGAATGATTTTAACAAAGTAACTCTTAAGCTGAAGGCGTACATAGGTGGCTTGGTAGGCACAACCTTAACAGAACTTCATCGACAAGCTTTCGATGAAAAATGGCTGGGTCACACAGCCTGCACCTCCACACTAGGCCTAGTGGAGAGTAAATCCTTAAAGGACAACGTTACTTTCTTGAACCTTTGAATAAATAAATGATAATTTTAAGCAACGCAACCATTTTTTTTTTTTTTTTTTTGCGCATTTGGATAATAATTTAGCATAAACGATAAAAAAGACAGACAAGTTTATTGTCAACGCCTACATCCAGGCATGATAAAATACAGATACGTGAAGTAATTCACAAAGTGATTTCCAGTTGTATGGGCGGCGACTGTATATAAATTTGGCAGGTAGATGAATTTCATTTTTTTAAATTCAACTATGGTTCATGAGCTTAGCAATTTAATTCTTTAGTCAGTCGGAATTAAAAAAACTGTTTTTTCAAATTTAAGATGAAGTTAATTCAAAAGCATACACACAACGTCATCTGGGAGGTTTCCAGCGGCCATTTGTAAATTTTTCAACATGACACACCAACATCCGATGCATTTTCCATTTGAAAAAAAATCTTCGAATTATTCCCACCTATTTTTTATAGACTATCGACAAGTAACAATGTCGGAAATATGAAAATTGCATGGGGG